CGAGTTGACTTCTTTCTCGATATATCCTTCTCACGTAGATCTATCTACATTGCTCCAAGTGAATGCATGGATCATGAAAAATTCAACGTAAATTCTTGGGAAAGGCAACGAGTTTTACCTCAGCGAAATACGCTTTGCTATCGCGTTCCATTTTTTTCCCCTGTTTTTTTTCTTTCTTTTCTTTTCTTTTTTTTGTTTTTTTTTTTTTTTATATATGCCACGTCATCTTTCCAGAGAAAAACTTTGTATCTAGCCACCATAACTTTTACGGTTATCGTCATTGACTCTCGACAACGTACTTCTCTTATATGCACGAACAATAAATTTATAAATGTTTGTTCTTTCAAATTGCGAGGAAAAACAATAACTCGAATTCTAATTGTATATTTTACTCGTAATTAAAACAGTTATAATTTACTGATTTGTAAAAACGATCTTTACATATTTAATATATATATATATATATATATGAACATTTATAATGACGAGTTGAAATTATTTCTTTTGAATAAATAAGAGACTAGACAAAAAGATTGATTAAATATTACTATATTTTAACGTTTTAAGAAGTAAAATATTCGTTTTCAAAGAGATTAAAAATTGTGATTACGATTGGTCATAAAAAAAAAAAAACAAAATTCGAGTAATGCATTAACGTTTTATCATCGTTATGATTAAAAGTAGCAATTTTAAAATCGAAAGTAACGTAATCGTAAAGTGGCCACGAAAGAATGCAAATGTGTTGGTCTGTATCGAGTGTACATACCTACAACTCCCTGGTATTCACGGAATAAAAATATTTTACGCTTGGCGTCGCGAAATAAAAGTACGTTTATACCTTTACCGATATTACGGTAAGGTAACTGCGCCAGCTTATAAACGTGATGCATGTAAAAGTATATCTCTCGCATATGTGCGAGGGATGAAAACGTGACCTCGAGTTTTACGTGAGCTTCAAATCGAAATATGTTCTGATAAACGAGGGCGTATTCGACTTATTCTCGATTATTTTTTAAAGATCAAATTATCTATTAGATTAAATTAAAACAAAAGAAAAGCCATGTCATGTTCCATAGAAAGTAAATCTGTGTGGAACAATTAAAAAAAAAAAAAAAAAAAAAAGAAAAATAAAAAAAGAAAAAAAGAGAAAGAAAAAAAATACCAGACTAGTCGCGATCAAAGAGGGAAAACTGTAAAGTATTAACGATATCTTTCGTTAAAGGATCGTATACCGAATACGAGAGCTATAACTCAAGGACAATGAGAACGCTTTTGTGGCTATAAAAAGATACTTGAAGAATATTAAAAGTCGTTCCGGGGAAGGCAAGAAGAATCCTGCCATGTAAGGAAAACCGATAAATTTTGATCGAACTCATCGACGAACGCGTTTATACGAATCGAAACGTTCCAATGTAAGTACGTATCTAGAATATACGTTTGATCTTCCCTTTTGATGTAATGAAGTAAAATATGAAAACTCAATACTCTCTCTTTTCTCTCTCTCTCTCTCTCTCTCTCTCTCTCTATATATATATATATATATATATATATATATATATATATATATATACATACATACATATAGGACATATCTTCGTGTGTAATATCTCTGATGTCTGTGACATTACTCTGGGAAAAACTGTTAATTATAAAAAATGTGTACAATGAAGTATTCCAAGCCATAACGAATTACATACGTTACATGATCTACCGGGTGTTGCTTATATAAGTAAAAAAAAAGAAAGAAGAAAAAAAAAATCCATTGAACACGCACAGACGGTAGGAAGTAAAGTTTCCAAAGGTCATTACGTATGGTTATTCAGCGAAATCCTTACGAATCGCGCATCTGCGAACTAATGATTTGCGGATTGGTCGAACAATATTTCGAAACTACTCGAAGAGAGTTTGAAAACGTAACGCGAAACATGGAGAGACATTGAGTTTCGCGTAGAAATTCTTTTTTTTGCTTTGTTCTTCTTTTTTTTTTTTTACTCTTTTTCTTTTTTCTTTTTTTTTTTTCTTTTTTTTCCTTTTTTTTTCTTTTTTTTTTTTGAATATCACGAACGAGTACAACGGTGAACCATTAAAAGTTTCATGTTGAACGAATTCGATGAAGAAAACTTCGCCACGGGCGTTCGACCTCGCCCGTCTCCGAAGTGGCCAATAATCGCGATTTATTCCTTTTCTTTTTTTTTTGTTTTTTTTTTTTAATTTTCTCTTTTTTCATCTCTTTTGTCGTCGCGGTTTAACTGGCGTTAATCAAAGCACCGAGACACGACAATGTCTCTATCTCTTTCTCTTTCTTTCTTTCTTTCTCTCTCCTTCCTCTTATATTATCATACTCTTCAATTAATTGCCTAATTATTTATCGGTCTTCAATAAAATTTAAATACGATCATTCGAGGAGTGTTTCACGAGGACATTTTGTAATAATAAATTGTTTCCTCTCTCTTTCTCTTTCTGTCTGTCTGTTTTACTCTCTCTCTCTCTCTCTCTCTCCTTCTTTTTTTCTGTCTGTCTCTTTCTCCCTCTTTTTCAGTTTAATATGCAAAGTAACGAAAGCGCGACGCAAAGTAATAACAAATTTTATATCTTGACGATTCCACTGTTTCGCGCCTCCAAACTCTTTGACGTTCGAAACGATGAAAATTCATGTTCTCGTACATCGACAGGTCGTTTAAAGTGAAACTTTTTACGACCATTATACGATGTATTAAACTATCTAAAGGTTCTATAAAAACCTATTAAAATCGTAGCATTGTGATAATAAAAACGTGGACATTAAAGCCGAGCGAGCGAAAATTTGGAAAAAAAAAAAAAAAAATGTAGAAAGAAAAAACACTTTCATGCGAATAAAAAGTAACAGCGCAACAGCGATCTCTATCGGCGATCGTTCAAAGTAGAAAGCCCGAACGAATATATGCTCATACTTAAATGCGTATACGTCGGTAGAACAGATAATTTTATATTCATCATATAATTTACAATAAAATATACATCATTACTATATGTTATAAAATTTTTGTGTGTTTTTTTTTTTTTTTTTTTTTTTTTTTATATAACGATCACAAAGAATATATTATATTTTATAAAATATTATTGATCTATCGATCAATCGTATGATCTATTATTAATATCGTTTAAGTATTCGATCGCGAGTACTTAAAATTCACATCCTACGTTCGTCGCATCGGATGTAATACAAAAGATTTACTATGGTCGCTAACGAGTCACGTTATCCTCAACTACTCCTTCTAATACGTATAAGTGATATTTATGAGATATCTCCCTTAATGAGGATGCTACGTCTCCCAAGTTAACTTTTGGAACAGTTTGTAAGCAACGCCCGCAATGCTCCGAATAAATTCTATTCGGACTGATTGAATCGTATAAAAAGGAAAGACAATAACGTTATCATCGTAAATTGAATCAAATTTGTGTTGGGTAATGTAATAAACACCAATATCCTTTCTCAATTAGATATTTAATATCGAAGAAATTAAACGTTATAACGGTTCTTCAAAACGACAAATTGAAATGATAAATGAGTATGAACGTTTGATCATTGTCTACCAAATTTATCTTTAAATAAATCAAGAGTAATTTTTTCTCGGTAGACCGAGAAAGAGACGGTAAAAAAGCAGCTTCGAAATTCGAGTTCTCGGCAGACATTTCCTTGCTTGGGAGTCGAGTCGAAGTACGTAGGTAGGAAAGAGTGAGGTAGATAAAAAGAGGGAGGGGGCGTACTAAACCTTTCTCCGACGTTATTTACCCCGACGAAGAAAACCCGTTATCCGTAATGATGCACTTTGGAAGGAGCAGCTATGGAAGAGAGTAAAAGAGAGAGATAGATAGATAGATAGATAGACATATATATCTATATAAAGAGAGAAAAAGAGAGAGAGAGAGAGACATGTCGTGCTTGCACTACTCTGGAAAAATAGAATGTATGTAGTCGTATATATGTGATTTCGAGAGTTTTGACGTACACGGCGAAGCTGAGAAAGAACGATCCGACGTGTGACGAGGCTTACGTCGAAATGATAAAAACGACGAAAATTCACGGAGAAAAAGAGAGAGAAAAAGAGAGAGAGAGAGAGAGAGAGATCAAAGCTATGAGGCCGAGTACTGTGCTCGTCGAGATAACAAATTCCTGCGGCATGAACTCCCATGTACCGTATTTGTAGAGTGAAAGGAGTCGTGCCATTTTACATTACGGACTACGAGCTAACCATTTCCGCTTCGATTCACGCGCAATGGCTTCTTCTTACGGGATAGAAGAGCTAAGGGTCGATCTTGATTTAAATAAAATGAATTATACTAGCACATACCAACTCGTTGCGTTGCGTTCTCTTACGAATATCTAATGTATCGTACTACATTCGACATTTTGTATTGTGTATCTTACTAATTTATTATCTCTCTTTCGATTCGTCTAAACATACAATAGAGAAATTTCCATAAAATTATTTATAGCCGAATAAAATTTCCTATTTACCAATTTTATTCATTGTTATTTTATTATCTGTTGCTTTAAAATTTTTGATTCATTATTTACTTTATTATCTTGTCGTACAAAGCAAACCTTCTCGTCTTTTTATTTTTGTATTCATCACGAACAGAAAATAATCAGTAGCCTCGATAAAACTAATAATTACACAATGACAAATGTTAAGAGAAATATGAGTCATTACGTATGAACCTTGAACAAAAAAAAAAAAAAAGGAAAAAGAGGATGAAGAATTTGTGGAATGTAATGCAATTCAATGCAATCGTCGAAGGTCAAAGGGCACACGCGACAAGTAAGCGGCAAGAATCAAAGGAAACCAAAGATATTACGTATCGTTGTATACACGTAAACGTCAGTATAGCTGCGAAACAAGTAAAGCAGCACACTTATTTGCTTTAATGATAAATGTAAAATATATATTTAAATATGATAAATAATAATATCTCCTTAATAATCGTATATTCTTCATTTTCTTCTTTCACTTTTACAGTGCGTGCAAATGGCGCACGCGTTAAGGCGCATCTCCTACGCGACTTGTGAACCCCGACACGCTCAGTTCAGCTTTTTGGCTCGAGAGCCCAGGGCGCATTTTAGCATCCAATACTGTCACTCGTTCGTCACCGAATCTGCAGAACAGGTAAGTCCGTATTCTCATAATTTCTTTTTTAATACTCTTATAAAGAAAAGAAGAGAAGAAGAAAAAAAGACATTAAAAGTATCGAGATAATCTAAACAAAAATTTTATTTTAACAATTTTCTCCATATACAAAATCAATCATTCGAAGAAGTACTTATCTTTTCTATCTATAAAAACAACAATAACAACAGCGAAAAAAAAAAACAAAGAACTTTCATACGATCACGAAAAAGATATTTCATTGGTATCCGTGAGACAGGAAAGAACACTATTTTATACGCTTGAAAAAGCGTACAAAACTTCAAATCGTTTCGTCTCACACGTATATTCTTTGGTAATTCCTTCAGTGAAGGAATCAGCGAACAGTAGCAAAAAGAAAAAAAAAAAGAAGAAGAGGAAATTTCTTCGCGTTGATGTTAGTTCTTAAAACGAAAGGAGTTGCGATTCTCGTCAGATTGGATGGACCGAGTAAGAAGAGAAAGGAAAGAAGAGAAGAGAGAGAGAGAGAGAGAGAGAGAGAGAGAGAGAGACTCAGAGAAAGAGAGAGAAAGAGAGAGAGAGACAGAAAGGGACAGAGATTGAGAGAGAGAGAGAGGGGGGAGAGGTTGTCCTTGGCAAAATCGTAATAATGCATCGCCATCCTCTAGGACAAATTGCTCCGTCACACTGAAAAGACAGTCTCAGCGCGAAGGATATTACTCGACGATGAAATCCGTTACGCGAACGCGAATGTTAGGCGAATAACGTCCCAACCATAACTGCCACTCCACATCCGTAGAAACTCCTTTGGAATCTATTGCACGTGCGAAGTTATTACACCATAGTAAACCTTCTATCATTAAGAGAGTCTATGTTATGAAACTTATGCCACTTCATGTTAAAACGCAACTCTCAACCTTGTAATACGATTGCAAGGCACTTCATTATGATCACATCGCGAACTCGTAAAGGATAACTTACACATCGATATTACACGTTTCTTAAAGTCATTGTACATTAATTCGATAAACCTTTTGTATTGTTATTTAATGATTTCCATTCGAAATGTTCTTTGAGCGTTACGATCTATAAATTTAATTCCATGGAACTAATATTACATGAAACTCGCATTAATCTACTTTTCGCAAAATAAATTAATATCGATGTATCGTATAAATTATATCGTATTATTTATATTAATAATATTGACATGGAAATGATTATTTGATTTAAAGAAAATAATTTAAAGAAAATAATTGTCTTTCTATAATAAATTAAACAATTCTAATGTTCATAGAATATAAAGAAAGAAAGATAAGAGAAATAGATATAGAGAGAAGTATATGTGTCAGGGAGTGAGGGTTAAAAGTAGCGCGAATGGAGGGTGTACATCAGAGACCCATAAAGTCCGAGAGTTCTGTTTGTAGCTCGTTGCATCGTTGAACCGCCATTAGTCTTGGCATCGTGAATTCAGACACTCTCTCTCTCTCTCTCTCTCTCTCGCTCTTTCTCTCTCTTCCTCTCTCTCTTTCTCTCTCTCTCTCTCTCTTTCTCATTTTCTTGTGCGCAAGCACGCGAGTACTCAACGCATTTACAGAGACACCGCAAACACCGCCACCCTCGCTCTGTCCTTACCCGCAAATACCGACGCAACATCCCTAGCTCCTCCGAAGCTGTTCGTATAATCGACGATGATCACTACGAAGGTGTCCTGCCATACTCGATTAAGCCTACAAACATGCTACTAGACGATCTACTCTGCTCTTAGTTAATAACATCGATTAGATCTTCCGTTGATACAGAGAAAATGAATGATCATTTGCAATGTGACATTGTAAGATCTAACATTACAAGCTTTCGCAAGAATGAATGGTCTAATTAAAATAAATAGCCTAATAAAATGCGTTTAGTATTTGCATTTAAAATTACCAGATATTATTACACATACACGGTTGCATGCAAACGAGAATATTACTGTCGATCTTGCTAATGAAAATATATAACTTGTAAGTAACATGTTGATTGCAAACGATAATGAAAGCCGTATTGATATGTTAAAAAAAAAAAAGAAAGAAAAGAAAAAAGGAAAAAGAAAAAAGAGGAAAGAAAAAAGAAAGAGAAAGAAAAATAAACGCAATGATTGGCCAACGTTTTGCAAAATTTATTCAAATCTTTCCATTTAATAGAGTCATTGTTTTAACGAAGCTTCTTCTCTGGATGAAAGATCGTAACTCGTAAAAAGATCCCCGTAATATTACTATCTCTTTGCCGACGACCTTGACATTATCCATTGCTTTCAAGTCGCTGTCTACGTGCACGAAGTGTTCCACTCATTAGACCCTATCGTCCGGTCGATCTTCATTAGGTATCACTTCGTCTAGACGCACCTTGCTTTTCCACGAGACTCCTATTGCAAGATTCTCAAAGGCATGATACGCATGCGCCACCATTTAATCTCGTAGTATTGAAATTATAACCACGACGTCGTTATGTAGTTGACAACCTTCTCGATTCTCGTTAAATATCAAATTTGCCCGATAAATTCTAAAATACGAGAATATTATTCGAAATGAATTTTATTCATGAAACGTGTTATCTTTTAAATTGGATGTAAACTTCGAAATGTCATAATATTCCGTCACGGGATATCATTATGATAAAGTTGTTTTTTTTTTCTTTTTTTTTTTTTTTTCTTTTTATTCAATCGACGTAATATAAACTGTTTCTTTTTATCGGCCATTCATATTGACCGATCGTCAACAACTTCTATAACGATGAAAGAAAATCAAGACTTGAGAACTCGTCGTACGTAGAAACTTCCTTTCTCGTAAATCAGGATTAGAGAAACAAACGAGATAGTAAACAGAATAAGAATAAAAAATAAGTAATGGTGAGATGTGATCGAAGCACGCGACGACGACGACGACGACGACGACTTTGTGTGGATTCAGTAAGAGAAAAGTAAAATCAAGGAGTTCAAAACTCGTTTTGCCATTTCGAAGGATCGGTTTCTTGATCTCACAGCTATCCCTTCGGTCGTTGACGCGCTCGCCATACTTTTTTAAGTGAAAAATATAATCTCCGACACGCCTACTTGTGGTCGAACTAATAAAAATTGAGAGAGAGAGAGAGAGAGAGAGAGAGAGAGAGAGAGAAAGAGAGAGAGAGAAAGAAGGAAGTCATAAAATAATCTTTAGAAAGAAATGTCATAAGATCCGATCATTCATCGATCACTCTCTAAGTATCATCCTTCTACCCACGCATATATATGTGTATATAAATATACAAAAGGAAAAGGACAGAAAGAGAGCTACCGCTTTTAAATATGGAAAAATTTCAAGAACATAAAAGGTAACTAATGGAAAATTCAAAGCATGAACGATGAACACCGATGAACAACGGTGCTTTATACAACGGTACTCTATACCATATGTCATTGTACATTTCCTAATCGATGCCTTTTACATACTTCCTAAATATTCTATTCTAAGTAAATTAAATATATGTGTTATGTTACTAAAATATATCCTTTCGAATTTGCCATTTCCGATGTTGTGAAATTTTCGATCATTAATCCTTGGATATCACTGTTTTATCGTTAATATTTTATATCAAATAATTTGCATTTATATTTTATTGATTTTCTATTGTTAAACTTGACAATTATTCTCAATTGAATTTGAAATTCTAGAGATATGATAGCGATAGAAAAACATTTATTATTCAAACAAATTACATGCAAGGAATTAAGTAGATAAGACATATTAATGACAATAAACAAGAAATCTCATTTATATATATATATATATTTACTTAAAAATTATTAAATAAATACATATATAAAAAAATATATTTGATGTTCTTTTACATATAATTAAATTAAATCATTGAAAGATGCCTGTCAAACGGTTTTACAGTTTTCGTAAAAGTAAAACGAGATGTCGAATCAAATTCGACATAGGACCGTAAAATCATCTACGAGTGAATCCCCAATAAGATGAAAGAAAAACGAACTATCGAAAGATGACGTTGCGAAGAGAAGAATACACATGGAGGAATGCGACGTGAGTTACAACGAAAGATGTTCTTTCGATATATTGCGATTATATAATCGAAAAAGTGCCGTCCCGATATCCGTACGATCGCTTGGTAGAAAAACGATCGCGCATCGTTTATGAAACCAGTTAAACCAGTGAGAGGGCTGTCCAAGCGAACATGGTTGTAAGGTGTGTACTGCTCCTTTTCGCTCCGATAAGTTTGCCGGCTTTGAATATCGTGAATGTACCAAGAGAGAGAAAGAGAGAAAGAGAGAAAGAGAGAGAGAGAGAGAGAAAGAGAAAAAGAGAGAGAGAGAGATACTCGTAAAGAAAGCACATGTAGATAACCCATGTTCTTGCTTACGCTCTATACGTAAAACATAAGCATTACGGGATAGTATAGTTGCACTTGTGAAATAGTATAACTCGATTTAACTTAAGTTAAAATAAAAATGAATAGGAATCTAATAGGAAATTTATTTTTCAAATAGCCAATAAAAATTTGGTCAAATATTTAACCAAAGAATTATAACGTTTAATCTATTATTATAAAATAATCATCATTTAAATTTTATACGAGCACAATATCTTTGAGTCTATGTATTGGTTAAGAGAAAGGAAGAAAAAAAAAACAAAAAAAGAAAGAAAGAAAAAAGAAAAAGTAAAAAGACGTAACACCTGATAACGATCATGTTTTTCCACAAGTGTTTTATGGAACTAATAAAAAAGACGGAATGTTCTTCTCTCGACGAAATGGAAAGGAGGTAAAATCTTTGTCTCTTGTAGCACACCCGGGAGTTCGGGAAAGCTCTCTCCAGGGAAATATTTCAAAATCTCAGCGACGTCGAGGTAGACATCGGTGGAATGCAGATCTTTCCTAACAGGAAGACGTAGTCGTAGGTAGTACGAGTAGCGCCATTCATGGCTGCTGACTCATTGCGCCGAGAGATAGAAATAGAGATAGAGAGATGAGAGGAAAGGAAA